AATATGATATATTATATATGGTTATATAACCTTAGGGAGCGACATGTGTTTGGTTCATTCCGCGCCGAGTGTACGGCTTCTGTTCGGAATATTATAGCCGGCCCGGTTGACAACGGCTTCTGTTCGGAATATTATAGCCGGCCCGGTTGACAACGGCTTCCGTTCGGAATATTATAGCCGGCCCGGTTGACAACGGCTTCCGTTCGGAATATTATAGCCGGCCCGGTTGACAACGGGCGGCCGGTTGACAACGGGCGGCCGGTTAACCCAAGAAGCCAGCAGCCGTTGCACCGCCACTACCCGCTGTCGCTCATGGCCGTTGTGAAGAAACATTATCGCGTTCTTCAGGAAGTTTAGTCTTACACGATACGGTGACGGCCGCTATCTTATCACCGGCTATCTCTGCACCCCCACCACCCCTCTGGCGCTGGCTATCCTCACAAATGGAAATGATTGAACCTGTTATCTCCTAGCCCAAATGAGCGGTCGTTCTCGGCCGAGCGGTTTTGACCCAAGACGAAATTAAACGACACAGAAGTGACCAATCTGAGGTGGTGCCATACACCCAGTATAGGTCCAATCAACCGCAGTTCACAATATGTATATGTGCGTGTATTAACGGATATCTTAGGCGATAGCGAGTATAAGTAGTTGGTCAAAGGGGGGATGTGGGGGGGGGGGGTGAATTTTAGATGCGCTAGGCTGGTCTAACGAGCGTCTAACCATCTCGTTAGAATCAGTAAATGTTGGAGAAGAACATTGTTCTCGTTGTCAGTTTGGGGACATTTTTTAGTCTTTCAATAAACCACAATAGGAAGTTGTTGACAATTATGGCTACAATTATGACCCCCACACTGGCTGTGGGGGTCCACCCACACTGGCTGTGGGGGTCCACCCACACTGGCTGTGGGGGTCCACCCACAGTAAAGAGGAAGGAGAGGCATAGGTGAAGGGAAGTATAGAAGTGGGAAATACAGTGAGAGGCATGAAAGCAGGCGGGCTGTCCGCCTTGCTGACACGATGTGTGGGTGTTGGCAGCTAAGCTAAGCTGGCTCCCTCTTGTCAGGGAGCTGTGAGTGTGTGAGAGGTTCTTCACGTGTGTTTCACCATATATGGATGTCTATAGATTAGTACTGTGTAGCATTCATATACACACACTCCGATGCTTCCACAAATGTTTTGTTCAAGGCTATTTATTTTATTATTATTTATTGTCTTGTTCATACATACACATATGGGGCCGGACTCGGAGTAAGAGTAAGGGAAGACATGATAGGGTGGACAAAGACAAACTCTTCAGCACGGGTGGGACTCGAACAAGGGGACACAGGTGGAAACTTAGTACCCAGATGAGCCACAGAGACGTTAGAAAGATTTTTTTCCAGTGTCGGTAGTTAATAAATAGAATGCACTTGGAAGTGATGTGGTGGAGGCTGACTCCATACAGTTTTAAATCTAGATATGATAGAGCCCAGTAGGCTCAGGAATCTATACACCAGTTGATTGACAGTTGAGAGGCGGGACCAAAGAGAAAGCTCAACCCCCGCAAGCACAATTAGGCGAGTACAATTAGGTGGGTAAGTGTATGTGTATATTATTTTTATTTATATATATATATATATATATATATATATATATATATATATATATATATATATATATATATATATATATATATATATATATATATATATATATATATATATATATATACATACACATTCATTTATATATACACATATACTAATTTTTTCCCAATTATAGGGAGAAGGATTTCTGGTCAGTATTTCACCTGAAAATTATGTACTGTGGGGCGGGGGTTTTCATCTAGTAAATTGAGGCTCTTAGGCCACCAGGTGTGGGGGCGGGGCGTCTCATCTTGGAGTAATCTTTCTAACATTGGGTCCTCTAACATTTGGATGGTGTTGGACACCCTGATGGCCTGGTGCTGCATGTTAGTTTTCTTTATGGTGTGTAGTGGTACTGGGGGATACTCTAGATGCGGCCGAACTAGATAGAGCCTTATATAGGTGGATCTGAATGTTAGTACTGAGGCTTCGGAATCTTCTCAGTTTTCTCAGTATTCCCAGGACAGTCCTGTGCGTGAGTGGGTGGTGGGGGGAGAGGTCAGTACCCGGCATGACAGAAGCCCCCCCACACCATACCAGATGGGTGGGGGGACACCCCTTTGGCGCCCTGAGTACCATCTCCCCCCCCCCTATCCCCCCCACTCACCCCTCCTCTACAGCTTGATATCCATCCAGCCTCTTTTTTGTTTTTAGCAAGGCCTACTGACCCCTCGTCAGTAGGGGTCAGTAGCCTAGGAGCCTCGTAGCCTGGTGGATAGCGCGCAGGACTCGTAATTCTGTGGCGCGGGTTCGATTCCCGCACGAGGCAAAGTTTCTTTCACCCTGAATGCCCCTGTTACCTAGCAGTAAATAGGTACCTGGGTGTTAGTCAGCTGTCACGGGCTGCTTCCTGGGGGTGGAGGCCTGGTCAAGGACCGGGCCGCGGGGACACTAAAGCCCTGAAATCAACTCAAGATAACCCCTGCTAGGCTTGGTCAACAGACTAGTATCCAAGCTGAAGGGTATGACAACGAAACCTCATGTCGGCGGAAGACAGAAGAGTTAGGGGAGACAAGATCACCTCATACAAGATTCTCCGATGAACTCATAAGGTAGATAAAGACAGTTTATTCAACACTGGTGGGACGCGAACAAGGAGACACAGGTGGAAACTGAGTACCCACATGAGTCACAGGGACGTTAGAAAGAACTTTTTCAGTGTCAGAGTAGTTAACAGATGGAATGCACTAGGAAGTGATGTGGTGGAGGCTGACTCCATACACAGTTTCAAGTGTAGATATGATAGAGCCCAGTAGGCTCAGGAATCTGTACACCAGTTGACTGACAGTTGAGAGGCGGGACCAGAGCCGAAACTCAACCCCCGCAAGCACAATTAGATAACCACACACACACACACACACACACACACACACACACACACACACACACACACACACACACACACACACACACTGAACGCCCTTCAGTGAAGTCCCCTGAAGCCCATATCAAGAGGATAACATCAGCGGCATATGCCAGATAGAAGAGTTAAAGGGGACATGATCACCACATACAAGATTCTCAGAGAAATTGATAGGGTAGATAAAGACAGACTATTTAGCACAAGGGGCACACGCACTAGGGGACACAGGTTGAAATTGAGTGCCCAAATGAGCCATAGAGACGTTAGAAAGATTTTTTTTAGTGTCAGAGTTATAGACAAATGGAATGCATTAGGAAGTGATGTGGTGGAGGCTGACTCCATACACAGCTTTAAGTGTAGATATGATAGAGCCCAATAGGCTCAGGAACCTGTTCATTAGCTGATTGACGGTTGAGAGGCGGGACCAAAGGGCCAGAGCTCAGCCCCCGCAAGCACAACTAAGTGAGTACACTTCAACAATGTTGTATCACAAGCCTAGTCTGTATATTTCCATCGCTTCTCGTCTGCCTAAATCACATACATATTTAATATTCCTTTCCTGGCCAAAGTTGGGCTGGGGAGTAATATTGGTATGAGTGAGAACTCTCAAGAACTTTACAAGTCTTCAACCATAAATATCAATAGAATAGAGGTTATAATTATCGCCATTTGTCATTTCCTGAGCTCATCCACGCGGTCGGGTCGTCGAATGCCAAAATTATGCACTGGGATATATCAGGGCAAAAAGTTTTAAGTTTTTATGAGATTTAAGATATCGGCGTTATAGAGATTAACAAGGCGAGTCAAACTGTTGTAATTTCCATAACAAATGCGCGAAACGGAAAAAGTTGAGAAAATAGTTTAAAGTGGGAAATGGCAAGAGTAAACTCCGGGAGGCGAGATCGTGGACGAGGCAGCAGCAGCAACAAGAATTTTTGCGCAAGCTGGACAGTTTTCCCGGGAGGCGGCCAGTCATGTCTCCGGGCTACGCTTACTGTAGCTACAGCCAGGCTACAGGTCCCGGCTGTACCCGCCTCCTGTACCCGCACCACCCCCTGTACCCGCCCACGCCCGCCACACTGTCTTGTTATGTCGTTAGCGGGCGGTGGCATCACGAGCGGTCCTTATACCGGGGTTTTGGGGGCCCCGCTGTTAATTCAACCTCATTTAAAGGCAACAATAAGATGTGTTTTGGAGGGGTTGTAGGCGCGGGGTTGTAGGCGTAGCTACGCCGGCGTATGGCGACGGGCCTACGCCGGTACTTCATACGCTGTGGATGAGAGAGAAAGAGATGACAGGTTCACACACTGACTTACAGGTGGGGGTCACAAAGACCAAAATCCCAGATCCCCCCGCCCTTACCCCCCCCCAACCCCGATACCCCGAACACCCCCCCACCACCACCACCCGAACACCCCCACCCACCCCAACCCGAACACCCCCACCCCAACCCGGCCGGAACCTCCATTTCACAGTTTCCAGTCTAGAGCCTCTCTCTCTCTCTCCACTCCCTTCTAGGACTCCCAGCAGCACCCAGCGCTCCCAGGAGCTCCAAATAGAGTAGCTGTGACTCCAATAGAGCGCCGCGGTCTTAGAGGAGGAGGAGGAGGAGGAGAGGAACACAGGTTACAAGGTCTTGCCTCTTTTTTTTTTACCGGGTAAAGCAAGGCGGCGGGTTGCCAGTTAGTCGATTTCTTGGGGTCGGTGTTGCCGAGGTGGTGTGGATTAATTATCTTTGTTAATAATGCTAATTAAGGTTAATTAACATTTGCGGGTTAAGCACAGTTTGGGTGAGATGATGGCTGTTATATTGGAATTTGGAAAAAGTGATTATTATAGAAGTGGATAAATAGAGAGGTAAAATTTGTCATTTGGTGATGTACCCTTGTGTGTGTGTGTGTGTGTGTGTGTGTGTGCGTGTGTGTGTGTATGTGTGTGTGTGCGCGTGTGTGTGTGTGTGAGCGCGCGTGTGTGTGTGTGTGCGTGTGTGTGTGCTCGGTGAGGTGGTTACAGGGACTTGCTGGTTCAGTCTTGTGGTGGAGAGTGTGTGGTGAGTGTGTGTGTGTGTGTCCGCTCTCTTTACGGGACTAATTCCTGGTGTTAGACGGCGTTAGCGTAGCGTTAGTCCTCGTGTGCGTTAACGCAAGTCCTTACGCCCCCGCATCTTAGTGCTCAGGTAAGTGCTTTTTAGAGACTTAAACTGCGTCGGTGGGTGAGAGAGGGAGGGAGGTAGGTGACTTGGCTCCACCACATCACACGTGGGGCTGTGATAACGCGTTATATATGATAACATGTGGGTTGGGATAAGATATTAGTAAGAATAACTGCCTTAGAGGTAAGGGTATTGACGCACTCAGAGAGAGTGCCCGGCCCACGCCTCAAGGTATTTGAGTGACTATATTTAGCGGAGGATAATGTTAAAGTTGGCGTATATGGAGCAGAAGTTTGCGTAATGGTGGTGCGTCATTCTTGCCAGGAACTTAACAGCAACACCAGTAACCTAGTTCCATCTTAAGATGGCTTTAATTACTCCCCAAGATCACCCAATTTCCGCCAGAGGTGAAGGACTAGATTAATGTCGAGAGAAAGATGGAGGTTTGGCGAGGGAAAGTTAGCTTGTAGGGAGTGTGGAGGAGGGCGCACTGCTCTGCCTGGGAAATGAAAGTTTTTAAAAAGTAAAACCAAGTTATGCATAGTCAGCCGCTTACGCCTCCTGGACGCCGCCACCATATCCAACTCCGAATTTTATTTAATATCACACTCCCTATTTCCTTACTAAGTCTTAATTGCTTTCGGATTTGCATATTGATTGAGTTTGTTAATGATATTAAAAATGAATTTTGGCGTGATTGAGCAGGATGTGAATAATAGAGTAATTGTAGTGGAAGATGGCAGGGCGGGGGTGCGTATGCTGCCGTCCTCAGGCGAGAACATTGCTGTTGCCGACTTCTCTTACTGCGGGCATTTTGTCATCTTCACTTGCCTCTTAGTACCCGCTCTTAACTCTCCAGCTCTGGGTGTAGAGTTAGTGGCCCCGGTGGGGCTGGGGCAGCTACGGGGACACTGACTTGTTGTGGGTGGCGTGCGGGGGGCTTTGTCTGGCGTGAGGGGCAAGTGGCAAGGCTTTATGGAAGTTGGGAGGGAGCAGGTACATAGAGCCATGGATTCCTTTGTCATTACTGTTAGCGTGCGTTGTGTGCGTGCGTGTGTGTGTGTGTCTCACCCACACGCAGGAGCACCACCATGCAGGAGGAGGAGGCAAGGAAGACACACACTTGCTTTCACCGCTATTCTCGTTTCGCTAACCTTTTGGAAGAGAAATTGTGTTTACTCCAAGATGGTGCCATTGATTCTTGAGCTCCAGTTTTTGCATTTCCTTCATTTTCGTTCAGGTACACCGATTTGAACGGATGGCTTAATTCCTATTTTCCATAATTGGAGCCAAGAGAGTTTGGGTTGTTACGGAGTTGTTGTTACGAATACCAAGTTATATAGAAGAGTAGGAAGCCTATTACAAGGTCAGAGAGACGGCGTTGATCACGTGGACATATGTGGCCGTAGCCGTCCATCATGTAGCCTCTCTTATCTATCCCCAGGCCTCCTCATAGGCCTATTCGACCGTGTGATGGTGGCCATTTAGGCTCCAATATTAATCCAACTATTCCTAGACGAATAACTCCAGTCTTATCCAGAATTGTGGAGGGGATGGTGGGGGGGGGGTGAGAGGGGGACGGGTTACTTAATTTCCACATTACTTAACATAGTCTAGTGATAATTTAGGTGGCGAATTATTAAACAATGAGCATCGTACTAGTTCACAGTTTATATAGATTGGGAGAGATAGCCATAGCCAGCTCTGGTTCTTTCTTATAGATAGCCTTTGTTGTAGATATATATAGATAGCCACCTTCAGTGAGAGGTGTCGACATGAATAATAATATTTTCAGAGCAAGATCTATGTAAATATTAGAATTAAAACTAATTTACATTAGTTGGGCCGCGGGGACACTAAAGCCCCGAAATCATCTCAAGATAACCTCAAGATAACATATTAAATGTAGCAATGGGCCCCCTACAATTTCATCAGTGGTGGAACTCATTTTAAAAGATGTATACATATTGGTTAATTGAACCAATCGGCAGTCGTGTTTAGGGAGATGCTAATCCAGATTAGTTAAATGGAGCAGCTTCTGATTATTGTTGGGGGGGGGAGAGATGAACATAAGAACATAAGAACAAAGGTAACTGCAGAAGGCCTATTGGCCCATACGAGGCAGCTCCTATTCTATAACCACCCAATCCCACTCATATACTTGTCCAACCCGTGCTTGAAACAATCGAGGGACCCCACCTCCACAATGTTACGCGGCAATTGGTTCCACAAATCAACAACCCTGTTACTGAACCAGTATTTACCCAAGTCTTTCCTAAATCTAAACTTATCCAATTTATATCCATTGTTTCGTGTTCTGTCCTGTGTTGATACTTTTAATACCCTATTAATATCCCCCCGGTAAAATGAAGAGTGCGTCAGGTGATATAGAAGGAATATATAGTATAGCAAGATGCTGGCTGGCATGGGGGGGCGCGCGAGGGGGGGGAGGTGATTTATATTTGTATTGAGCAGTCAGTGGCATCCGTACTAGCTGGTACAGCTCGCTCCGGATAGTTGAGCCACTGTTTGTGAAGGTCAGTGGAATGTTTTAACATTGCTGGGGACCTCAGTGTGTGTTTGTGTGTGTGTGTATTATCAAGCAAGTTGCAGAGTGTGGTGAGCATGGGAGAACTTGGCAAGCAGGAGAGATCACATATGCAAACTGTTAGAATATATTTATATATAGGAGACATGATTTCCATGTTGAGGACTTGATTCTGGTGTTTACTGGGCGAGACTCTGCGGGTGATGCCCGCTGGTAGTTTGAGATACACAGCTTAAGTCTTAAACTTTCACTAAGACCAATGTTTAACATGGCGTAGGGTGTGTTCGAACGCGTCTTTTTGAGACTTAAGAAAAGTCTGATTAAGACATTGTATTATACAACTCTGGGTGTTAAGCTCATTTGTGAACGTAACGATACGTTTTCATGTATAATTCTTACGGAGTGGTATTATAATATTGGCTCGATGTATGGGTTATTGCCACAACAGCAACGTGTGACTTACAGATGTGGCTTGAGACGTTAACGGACACGTTTGATGTGTCCTGGAAGAGATTAAGTAACAGTGTAAGTGATGATAGGCACCAATGACATTCATCTCCCCTTGATATGTTCATGACCTGTGTATAGTGGTAAGCAGCCTATCAATAACTAACTCTTTGAATTGTAAGGTTGTTTCTAATTATTGTGAGCGTGTTTTAGCTGGATGGCAACACCGCCGCCACGCCGGTAGCGTGCATAGATGCCTCTCAAGTTTCAAGAAAGTATGAAACTTTTCCATAATACATCACACGCGCGACTGATCGAATGGCTTATTGATTCTAAATTAACTGTGGCCGAGAACGGAGTGATGTGAGGATTGTGGTGGGGAGGGGAGGGGGGGGGGGTGAAGGTGTGGGCATGACGGGGCACGGGGAGCAAGAGGGGTATAAGAGCCCCGTATAGGGTGTAGTAATGGCTGTATTGGTTTGTGGTAGTTGGTGGTGGTGTGGGTAGTGAGCCGTCTTGTCTCCCCCCTCCCCCCTCCTTCCTCTCACACATAAAAACACACATTCTCTGTCATCTTCCCCCCCCCTCTGTCTCTCTCTCTCTCTCTCTCTCTCTCTCTCTCTCTCACTCTGGTTAGAAAGGCGGGGTCCAAGAGTTAATATTAATAGCTGGTTTTTGCACATAGTAAATACACACAGTAGAAAGAAGTTTTTCAGTGTCAGAGTAGTTAACAGATGGAATGCATTAGGCAGTGATGTGGTGGAGGCTGACTCCATACACAGTTTCAAGTGTAGATATGATAGAGCCCAGTAGGCTCAGGAATCTTTATACCAGTTGATTGACAGTTGAGAGGCGGGAGCAAAGAGCCAAAGCTCAACCCCCGCAAGCACAACTAGGTGAATACGCACACCTACCTACCTCTTGTTCCTCTTTGTCAACACTTTTCAAAACCCATTTGTCGTCACTTTGCTTGGTGGTGAGGCAGCAGTCTACTGCCCTCGTCACCATCTTGGTCAGCGTGTATGAGGCGAGGCCGCATCAGCCCAACTTCTTCTCTCTTGACCAGAGATATTTGGCAAGGATACACTCCCTGTATGGTCCATCAACTCACAAAGATGTTCATGACTAGTTATATTTGCTGCGGGGAATGAGCTACAGGTCTTGGCCCCGCCTCTAAACCCATAATCAACTGGCGTATAGGGTTCAGAGCCTATTTGGCTTTCCTTTTTCCTATCCATATTTAATTAAAGGTTTTTATGTACTAACTGGATCGCCAAGGACTCCAGACTGTTCAGAGTTGTGGCTTATGTTTCCTGTAATGAAGTGCCATGACCGTTGGAGTTACTAAGAACAGTTGAGTTTATGGTGTCCGGATACGGTAAAGCGGCGACCATTGCGTTGTTCCCTGGGTAAAAAGAGAAGATTGCTTCCGTGCGGCTTCAGCTGGTGTGAAGGGTGCGACGCACGCTCTGTTCTAGTGAGCTGAGGCTATTATTGGTGGGTGTTGGTGGGGGGGAAGGTTGGGTGGGGCATGGTGGTGGTGGTGGGGGGCAGATGTGGAGCGGTTTACTGCCCTTCCTCACCCCCACACCCCACACTCTCGCATCTCTCACCCCTCACAGTAAGTGGGTGGGTGACTAGAGTATCCTAGCAGCAGTTACTGTCCTCGGCTCCTGCCCGCCACCAAATCACTATTTCCAAACCAGTTTGAGCTGTTCTCAACTGGTGTACACGTCAGAGATGATTGGTGTTCACACTCAGATCTGAACAAAAGTTAAGTGAGCTGGAGCAGTTTTCTCATTTTCCTCTTTTTTCATACATTTAAGAATTTTTTAATTCTGTATTTCAGAAGTAGAACAAAGTGGTAGGCCTATGCGCGGAGGCTGATGTCTTTTAAACAGAACTTGGTTTATATTACGGCAAATAGTGCTATTACTTAAGTAACTAACGGTTATTTATGCATCTATATATGGAAGGGAGTACCACCTCTGGCTGGAAGGGGGACTCTTTGCCTCGGAGAAAAACTACA